AAAAAAATGGTTAATGTGAAATGTCAATCTCAAATGAAAGACGTACGTCAGTTTTAGGCGCGACCTAAACGTAATAATTATTGCGTTTAGGCCGCGCCGGATTAAAATGCCCGGCACTAAATATAATCCCAAACTAAAGCCAAATAATGAAATATCTCGAAAAATTTTATATACGTATACAAATGAGACCAAAAACAATCATATAAGCCAATGTCCTATTTTGAAATTTTTGAAAATTCTAGTTGGCAACGAACGTGTTAAGTCTCTGAGCGGTTCTGCAACTATTATGGACAGGCTGTCGCTTACAACCATACACACGACTTGTTCGTTCGATCATTTTGTATCATAAAAAACGAGAATACAAGAGGAAAATAAAACATTTTTGTATGACAAAAATAGTCATAGCCGTGAAAAAGTTCTTGAATGATTAGTAGAGTTTAATCAATGTAACGATTTCTAATGTAATTTGCTTAACTGTGATATATTTGAGTTTAGCGTAATTAAACATTTCATAGCGCACGTTGAAAATAGAGTTACTAAACGGAAATGTCGTTTTTTTTAAATAAACTTATTTTCAGAAACTACTTGTTTAGTGACGTTATTGATTTCAACATTTGTTTTAATTCATAGTTTCTCTGCCATGGTTTAATGAAATTTTGTATTGTCTTGTATCTTGTCTATAGCGAGCCTGCAATGTTTTAAACGTTGCAATAGAAAAGGACTCTAGAAATTAACATCACTATACCTCAACTCCTCCGGGAAGGTATCTCTAAAGTCGTATTGTAACGAAATCGTAGGCTAATCGATATGGAACTTGTGCCACATGTCCTGATATACAAATAACTTTGATGTAATAAAGCCACATCTACAAAATGACTGAATGAATGAATCTTTTTAGAAGAGGTCTTTTCGATAACATTTTTATGCTTTCGTAGAAAATTTATACAATTTCACATATTCATAATTTGTATTATGAAGATATTTGTATGACTTTTATCATTTTCATGTGGTAAAAGCATTTTTTATGTTAGATCAAATGTGGCATTATTATACCATGGATACGAATTCATTACCATATTACACCCATCAGCAATAATTTTGGTAAAACGTAAGCAAATATTCATTTGTGCTAAGGCTAGAAACTTCATAAACATAACCATAGGCGCAATAATACACTCTCAAAATTCTTCATACCTTGCGCCACATACTTAGGGTTTCTATCAAATTTCACTTTGTACAGCTCGATGTGTGTACCTCTTGCTGATACTTGCAAAGATTGTCAGTAAAATTGTTCCAAAAAACCCACAGGTTGCCAGCACCCGCTTCCTGGGCCGCCACGGCAAGAAACTTAAGTCGGTGACCATCATCCACTCGTCCACAACCGAAACCGTCCGCCTGCCCGACGCCGCAGACCAGGGCCTCATAGTCCACACGGCTGTTAGGTAAGTAGAAACCAGTTTTTGAGCTCAATTACGTTGTCTAATATTAATGTGAAGTAAGGTTCGAAAGACCATGAATTTTACATAACAATTTTTGTGTTGTTCTTCAAGGTCGAAACTGCCCCTGAAGAAGAAAGTAGCGCTAAGAACACGAGCGTATCGCGGCAAGAAAGAACACAAAAACAAACAGGGAGACAAAGCGTCTCCTTCTCATAGTGCCAATAAAAAGAGGGTAAGTCAATGATTTGTAGTCTTAATAGTCTGAACTACATTTCGTATTCAAATGCTAATAATGCATTAATCTTTTCCAGAAGCCAAGTAACCCGCCAAAGCCTGAAGAACCCCAAAAAGTAACAAAAGAAACCGCAGCAGTCGTAACAAACGCAGAAGGAAAATCTCCAAAACACGTCATTCTATCTAAACATAAAGGTAAAGTGAAGAAGCGGACTAAAACGAAAGTCAAAAAGGAAACCATCGACTACAGCTCCATGCAAAAACATCCTTCTTCACCAACTAAGGACACTGAAGCATTAACCAAGGTCCAAAAATGGTTGTTAAGCACACCACAACCAACAATCATACCTAAGTCTAAATCGATACCTCTCGGCCTTACAGAGAGAACTCACTCTAGACAGGTCCCCAAGAGCACGAGAAAAACAAGACCGTCCAAGAGCGCAACCAACCTCCTATCAGGAGAAAAGACCAGACTACAAGTTGTGTTCAAACCTCCCTTCAGATTCAGTGTCAAAATCTGCAAGAGCGATAAAACCAAAGTCGTTCTCGACAAATCTTCTAAGCCTGACGTTGAAAGAAAACGCCTCGATGTTATCCCACAACATACTTCCGCTGCTGTAGTTAAACCCATTCCTGCCAGTAGTAAAGCACCTAAACATTCAAATTCCACTAGAAGTAATGTAGAAAACTCCAATCCAAGTCCTCCAAAAGTCGAAAAGTTGCAAACTCAGGAAGTTGGAGATCACGGCTACGCCAATTTACTGCCTCGAAGCGCAAGTGATTGCAAAGTGGGTAAGATGCCCGAAGTCAAAGTTAAAGGTGGCCATAAAAAGAGTAACTCTATTGGCCACAAAAAAGACACAACAGAGAGTAGACAAAACCTCATAGTGCCAGACGATTTAGATAATGCGCATGTGTATGAAAATGTCCTCCTTACACACGAACCATTCGTGCCTAAGAGCTGCAGCATGCCGCGCCGTCAGACCAGCGTGGGCATCTCGCGTCAAAGCAGCTACGGGCACCTGCCGAGAGCGCAAATCCGCCCCCACAGGCACAGTACAAACAACGTCTCTAGGTCCAGAAACAACAGCACCACAGATTTGGAGCACTTTTACAACGTTATCGAAACATTGAAAAAAGACACCGGGAACGCCAACACTTGCAACACTAACACCAGTAGCTCATCAGGCAGCAGTCGCCCGGAGACTGGTTTACTAAAAGGCAGCTCGACCAGGCAAGGCAACAGAACGTCGCGACAGAACAGTCTAGTCGACAAGCCGTCGCGCTCGAGTCCTATTGGGGCGTCAAAATCGAAACTTCGAAGGCAGATGAGCGAAGCGGAGTTGGGGAAGTGTGCTGCGGACATGAGGGGCTTCCAGCTCGTGGTAGGGAAGGACAAGTTGAAAAGGCAGTTGAGCAATAATGAGTTGTGTAGGTCTCGCGTACAGCTGGCGATGCCGATGTCGGCGGGCGCGGAGCCGCGGCAGGCGTTCTGCTGGAACAAGCGCGCCAGCCTCGACTGCGAGGCGTCTCTCCCAACGCCGCGCGTCTCTTCCCGAGCAGGCAAACGCACCACATACACTTTCGGAGAGCTGAAACACGCTGTGCCCAATGCCACGGACGCGCCCGCCGCCGACGACGTCCACGTCTCCCCGGAAGAGTTTCTAAAAATAATCGACAATTAACACTTGTACGTTCCACGTGATTCTTGTGGTAGCTACTTCTGTATTAATAAAATAATCAATGTGTATAATAGGATACTCGCGAGACCGTCGCCTGCCGGTGTAAATATTGTAATTTGCTTTTAATATTAGGACTAACGTTGCCACTGAAACAGGCCATTGCTCAGTTACTTGCAAATTAACACTTCGATAATTACATAATTTAATTAATCGATAAGTACAGAAAAATAATATGCTGCAATACACGGTTAATTTTGTATTAAAAGTACATAAAGACAGTACATAAATGTAAGACATTTATCAATACCTAAGTATGTTTAGGTACTCTATTGATTTATATAATAATATCGAAGAAGGCTAACAATGGTCTAGTTTCACTGATCGATCTCTATAAATGAATCTCTATTTTTTCTACATGCTATGTATTGTACAAATTACTCATATCCATTTGAAGTGTTCATGTAAGATGATTATTTTAATGCCTTCAAGTGTTTATATTTGTCTTTATTCCGTATCTAGTTCGTTTATGATTTGAGTTTAGCTTGTTTATGTTGAATAGCTGTCAATTAACAAGTCAATCTGTTTTATCTTAATAGATGTTTAAAAATAACACCACACCAAACTACTGACGATAAAAATATTGTAAATATTTTAATGTAGTTTTAAGATTAACATAGGATTCCTCAGCTCCGTAAATAAGTCTAAAAATTTCATATTCCGTAAATAGGACTACGAAGAATAATTATTTTAGCAAATATCTCAGAAGTATTTTAAGTAACTTACCTGGGTTCATTTTGTGGTTGTGAATTGTTTTTAATTCACAGTTATCATTGAAACGGAATCCTATGAATATAAAAAATAATAACCATTTTAAAAACAATAATTTATATGAAGCAAAAGTAAACTGTCGTAAGCTATCGTAAGAATATTATTTTTCTATAAAACATTGGATAACACGAACTAACAGGCGTTAATAAAATTTATCATAATGTAACTATTAAGAGAACTCATGGCTGTTGTAATCTCACTTTTTTTACAAATTAGTTCTGCAATATCTGGGATGGAATTTATTTTAATTAAGGTCAGGTGGGGTAAAAGGAACATACTTTATTTCGAGACAAATGTTATGAGCTCTAGGAGGAATAAATAATGTCTTATACGAATTTCGAAATAATTTAATCTTGCCCTGGTTTATCAGCTTTCCATGTTTTAACAATCGTTATGCTATAACTAATACTTACGATGTATCGGACAAAAACGTTCAGGTTGGGCTAACGTTTCTGTTCCCCCAAAAAATGGGGTAAGAGGCACTGTCATCGTATTTCATATAAATATAATATATATTTAAATATACCGGTAGTTAAGTCCTAAGTAAAACTATTTCAATCGAATTTTGATAACCATTGAAATAACGTATAGTTATCAAAAAAAAATTGAAAAATTAATTTTGGGACAAGAGGAACATACAAGTCAAGGTCATGGGTGAAAAATTAAAGAAAAGTGAACCTGTTATATTTTTTTTAGTACAAAACATAATAACGGCACATTTTTAACCACTCGTTTACAAATCAACATATTAAGTAACTTAGAACTTTTTAAAAATCATCATAATAGAAAAACGATGTTTGGTCCAAAAATAAATTTATACTTCTAACAAAATTTATTTTTTAATATATTTTCTTTAGTCACCATAATCTCTAATACTTTGAAAACCGTTTAGTGAAGCGGTTTTCTATGTATTACATTTAGTGAAATCAATTGAAATTTGGTATAGAAGTAGTGTGGCCACGTAGCTAATGTGCAATGAGCCATTTTTGTGTTTGTTCTTAGATTACGTCATTAGTTTAGTGCTCATGCAAATTTTTTTTAGTTTTCGACTAAAATATTAAATTTTCTAAAAATTCTTGATGGAAAAAATTTACTTTTACAGCTGATTTCAAAAAACAACCTTAAGATGTGTGATTGTTAACACAAAAAATTTTAGTGGTATGATTATTGTAACATTCGTCAGAAATTAACATCATTATCTCTAAAATTTTACCAAAAATTTACGATTACAATCAAAAACCTTATTTGAACAAATTTAATTTAATTTCTTAAAAGTATATATGTATAGGTATAAAATAATATATATGGATATAACGTTGTGTTTGTTCGAATATGACAATATGCCATTATGACAATTCATCAAAAAGTTGGTCACCCCTGACACGGGGGAAGAGGAACATATGTTTCTCTTACCCCGTGAGTACTAGACCCTCTTACCCCGTAAGTACTACACCCTCTTACCCAATAAAAAGTAAAACTTACCGTTTTCTCTACGTATTTTTCTATAAAATAATCTCCAGCACTTTTTTTTAGGTATTATGGACTTTAATCCTTCTTCCCCCGGTGTTCCTCTTACCCCACCTGACCTTATGTATTATTACGACAATATTGTAGTGCATAAACGATTAAATCATGTAATTATAACTTTATGTAATATGTGGAAATTATAAATAATTCGATAGATAGATGTTAGGTGAAACCGATTAAAATGGAAAGTTCCCGCCTAAATTATTTTTTTTATTTCGTGTTGAGGACAATTATGTGGAAGTCCAAAGAAATATTTTTTCTTAGAAAAGTTAGCACGAGGGCAATTTTCTATCTCAGATATTACTCAGAATGTGTTCCAGTATTTCGTGAGTGGTGCGTCGCGATCCTTGCGGCCGTAGCACAGCGTCTATGAGCTTTGTCGTAGGGAGGTAAGGGTAAAAAGCTATTGTATAAAAACTGATATCTAAGTCGATACTAAAAGTATTGGAGGTGTTACAAATTTGTATTTTTTTTGTTTCAAATTAAAGAATTGTGCAAATAACTTCTTATGATAATGATTTGACGAGTGCAATTTCTTAGTAAATCGAATTTGCTATTCTTCGTTTTAAAACCTCTGCTGAAGTTTAAAATATTTCTGATTCTTTCTTAAGATGGTCATAAGTGTACGTTATAATTGTGAATTTCGAAAAGATAATAAATGTGATTAGATTCTATGGAACTATTTAATGGTTTTATAGCTCATAATGTTATGAATTACGTATGTTAGTAGTTTCCAAATTGTATATGTCTGTTTCTTGGTGTCATGTCTATAGGATTTATTTTAGCTCTGTCGTTGATTAAACTGATGTGAAAATAGTCTAAACATCTGACCATGATCTCGCTGTATTTGTTCCAAGTGCCTTATGAACAAATCATTGCATTCCTACTTACATTTCAAACTAACTTTTGCTGTTTCTTTTTCTGAGTATTCTCTGTATGAAATGTAGTTTCAGCAGCTAACTCACTTTTGTACTGATATTATTATGTCTGATGATATGTAATTATTATATTTGTAATCTAAGCTTCTTATTTCCGTACATAAATTAGTCTGTGATAGATTATTCATTTACAAGTTTACTGTTGTATTCTGTCTCTAAACTTGTTTTTATGTCCAACATTTCAAACGATTATTAGTCTAATTAATTACAATGATAAATACAAATTTGTAATAAATTCATTTTCTAACATTTACTTTTTTTCTGCATTTTTTAAAGAATTAAACGAATCCAACAAAATCTCTGAGTATTAATTCATTTTGCCTTGCCCCTATCAGTATCAAACTAATATTTAGGCTGAATCCGCTGATACCTGTGCAATTTTGAGTGAACAAATGCTTTAAAAAAATTATGAAAAATGAAACCTTCTTGATTTTGGGTAACATTACTAAATCAAGTAGTCAAGCGATTCATAAATTTTATATCAAACAACTGTAAATTGCATTTTGCATTGTTACTGCATGTTCGATAAACAACATTTAAAAGTTTCGATTTTCTTTTGTTCCCAACCTTTCACAAGTCTGTCATCGTGTTCTGTGAAAGTATTGCAGGGAACCGCTTGTTTGATACATGTGTCTCGATATAAATATTAAGTTGAAATGGCTCCAATACGTTACAGCCTCCATTACGAGGACTATGCTGAGCATTTGATGTCAAGATTTGGCAAATTACTGCAAATGCAATCTTTAGTGGATATGACACTCATGTGCAGTTCACACACTCTGCGTGTTCATAAGGCTGTTCTTGCAGCTAGTAGTGCTTATTTTCAGGTAAATACCTAACATTTAATTACAAAAATAGATAAGAGTCATACATGGAAATGATAAAGTATCTGTCGTGGGTAGTTTGTTGAAGTCCGCCATTTTCCCTCAGGAAGTTCTTCAAAAGCAAACCGGTGAACCGTTGATAATTCTGAAAATGCGCTTTAGCGTACTGAAATGCCTCGTAGAGTTCATGTACTGCGGGAAAACACAGTGTTTGGAGGAAAATCTGGATGAATTGGTATCCGCGGCTCAATTCTTGAAAATTAAAGGACTTTCAAAAGTGACGAAAGAAGGACTTGGTATTGCTAATAATGGTAAGTACAGGCATCTAAACGGGGCATAAAAAGGTATAACCCAATTGAAATATCTGTGGACATCATTGACTTACAAATAATTGGACGACGGGTCTAATACAAAAACCACGAAAAAAATGTCCCAAGTCAACCTATTTAAACGTAGTGACATGTAAAGGAATATGAAAAACGTTGAATTTAAATTGTAATGTCATCGCAGTACTGTCTAATTTTGCTTGCTTCGCTGTCAGTCGAACAAACGAAGACTTAAGCGTGAATAACGCTCTGTATACGATTTTAACGCCCTATAAGTTCGGACACTTTTTAGCGCGGACCCGACGTCCATATAATTGTAAGTCAATGGTGGACATCGTCTCTTTTGGTTAATATTATTGTGCCCTCAGTGTCGTTGCCATAGCAATCACAACGACAAAAATGTCACTTTTAGGCCATTTTTAATATTTTAAATAGATATAAATCTACCTACTTACTTACCAATTTGAAATAGCAGTAATGGTCATAGAATATAGAAATAGTTTTCATCACATTTGCACGTAAATTGCATGCAGGCTAACTTGACTATAATGCCCCAAATAAAACCCTCCGGCCTTTTTCTTCTAATTTCACCTGTGGTCGGTGTAATGAAAAAGGAAAAGGCCCGATGGCTTAATTTGGGGCATTAGTCAAGTTAGCCTGCATGCAATTATACTATTTACGTGCAAGTGTGATGTAAAACATTGCATGTTTCACGGACGGTAATGGGAATTACGAATCTCGACTCCGAAAACTTCAGTCTCGATTTCGGGCTTCTAATTCGGGAATCTCGTTCGTTATTCCTTACTTACCGCTCTTAATAGACAATGTACTATTAAGGCAGGCACCTAATTTAAGGGCTCTTACACATAAACACGATACTACGTCGCGTCGTGTTACAACGCGGCATTGTTTTATCATGCGACGTCGTATCGTGGAAATCTATGACGAGCAACGCAAAAATTCACGGCACGACATCATATCGCAGAAACTGAATGTGCGCTCCCGAGTGCCGCATTCATTTGTTATTCAATATTCAAAGATGACTTTGTATTCTTCTGATATTTTGTCTCATAGTACAGGACGCTCCTCAACTGTCATCTTTGAATATTGAATAACAAATGAATGCGGCATTGGCGAGCTCACCGTGAGTTTCTACGATACGACGTCGTCCTGAGCGTCGTGATAAGTTGCGATGTCGAGTCGTGAATTTTTACGTTGCTCGTTACGACGTCGCATCGTGGAACGATGGCGCGTCGTAGCACGAAGCGACGTCGTAACTGCGTCTTTTCCGGGTCGAGGCGCACATTGCGATTCACAACTGGTGGATCGGAAACGTATGACATTTCAAATCGGAAAAATAGTTTAACTCACAAATTAGAAAGAGATAAGTAGGAATCATGTTCATCTTCTCGCTCAGAAACCCATCTGATTTCGAGACTACCCGATCGGTTCGATTCCGATTTGAATCAAAATTAGGACTCAGGAGACGAAGCGGGGAGGGGTGCTGCGATGCGTAAGTCCGATTACTTAGTTGCGACACTGTATTGCTTATGGGCGCATCGGCAGCGCCCGTGAGGCATCGGTCTCAGAAAAATCTATTTCCATGCACTAAAAGCGAAAAAGATGCTGTTTAGAGTCTACACTACCACAGCACGAATTCAATTTTTTCCCGTTCTAATACGGTTCATTTTTTATTTTAGAATTTATTTTTTACAAACGAAATTAAAACCATTTGAAAAATGTATATCGCATACTACACGTGTTTTATTTAGTTGATAAAAAAAAATCATTGGTGTACTTAAAGGACGTATTGTTTACAGAGGTTTTCTTGTAAAATTAATAATAATAATAATAATAACGCACACACTCGACATAGCCCCGCACTAGGGAAACCCTGGGTCGCGGGTGCCATGGACATATACATAGACAACCACAAATTACACCCAAACTCACGAGAGAAATAAATGTAGGCCATACAAATATTTCTCCCGGCCCGGGAATCGAACCTGAGACCTCTGCGTCGGCATGGTAACCGTTCGGCCACCTAGGGAGTTAATGTAAATTTCGAGTAAACATAAATCAATTCAATTACACATACTTTTTAACATACATACATATTTTTTCCAAGGTTATTTTTAATTCAAAACTTCCACTGTTGTGCGGAATCAACCAAAGCCATTTGAGAGTGTATCGACTCAATAACATTGTTGACTCTTAACGGCCGAAGAGCATCTGGCGACTTTTTTCGCTCTTATTGCATTGACGTGAAGCTTGTTCAGACCGGCTTAGGCCGGTCGCAATAGTGCTATTCCGCGTTAGGCAATTGATATTGCGGTAGAAAGGAAAGAAGTGAATTTTTGTAACGATATTGTACATAGCATAATGAATTTTACAAATTTGATTCAAGCCAAAATCTTCCCCGGAATTCTCGCGAATGCGCGAGTATTCTCGAAGATTCACGAGAATTCTGGAAACGGAACCATATTTCAAAGAGAAAATTTTAAGTGTATAACCTCCGGAAACCTATCGAAACATTCCGAAGGTGCCAAAACTTTCCAGAGGCTTCGTTCTTACGGCCATTGTTATTGAAATTTCAGGTATAATTACATTAAGGTCACCTTCAAATTTAACTATTACTAGAAGCGCTTCAATGGCGTCACTGACGCAACCGCGCTGCTCCTAATTTTCTTACAATATTATTTTTCTTTACAAGCGTTTAAATTTGAAGACACCTTTAAGTATATTAATATTCGTCACCTAAAAATTCCCTGCCGTGCCGTCTTGTATCAGTGGGCACCAGTAGTGCGATTCACGTAAGTTCAAGCTATCAAAACATCGTTGGAAGTTACGTAGTCGTTCGATCGAAGTCCTATCCAAAATGGGTAATCACGTATCACTTGAAACGAACGTTGATATTAGTAAAATCGAAACGTAACGACTAATGAACGACATCTTGGATTGTGAAATGTGACATTTAGTCGTCGAAACTCTATTGAAAGAACTGTGAAAATTTTAGCAGAATACGTATGACTTGTCGTTTAGAGTCGACTTAAGATCGATTCATATACCAGAATACGCTTTAACGACATTTGGATCGAACGACTTTAAAATTGGACTCGTTGACGTTCACTGTCACACGTGAATACGAAAAAGCAGTTCAACGACTATTTGATTTTTTTATTTTTGACGATTTGATTACGTGAATCACCCCCCAGGCTTTATTTATTTATTTATTATTATTATTTATTATTTATTTACTTACAGCTTTACACCTACCATTACAGTAATAAACACCAATGCGGCAGTGTACATCTTCAAACGTATATACTTATATAATAACTACATATTCAAACGTATATACTTATATAATAGCTTATTTAACTTGACATCTTTCAAAAGTATATACATATAATCAACTGATTTAATTGGTTTGTAGGCGAGCTGCCTGTGTTCACGCCACCCGTGGTTATCAACAGACCACCCCAGTCACTTATTGACTTACATTCACAGGTAATGGTATTTTAGATATTATATCGCCATCACCAATTTTATTAGTACCTACGTATTAGAAAATGGTAAGTGGTTTATCGTGAGCCATATTTTAACCAATGCCTCTACCATGAGTTTACTTTAGCAGTTCTCGCTAGCGCCAGCGAAAAATATTTGTATCCAAAATATTACTTCTTCTCGTAACCGCTAGGGGTGCTATAATTTGCCATAAAAAATTGTGAAGTAATTTACACAGTCTCTAGCGACAATTGTCACATTAAACTCATGGTAGAGACACTGAACTTGTTTATCGATATACTTTTCTGATAGTCGGTACTCGATTGATAACATTCAACAGAGTAAAGTTACTTACCCACATTACGACGGAGAGAGGACAAAATAAAAACGAGAACTTAAATAGTAACCGTAGAGCTCCTTGTGAAAGAGTTCGTCCGGGGAAGTTACAACACCATACTTGTTTCTGCCGCCAAGTAGTACTTAGTATGAGTATTACTGCAATCTCATTTTAAAGGATGAAACTGCAAGCACATGGAACTTGTCAAGGCACAATTGCAGTGCCACTCAGGTCTATACGTAGGCACTTCGTCGCTTGATAGCATAAAAAATACATTGCCTTTACAAGGATACCAACGACCCGAAGCAGCCTCCGCCTCCGCCGCAACTAACTCCTGCTACCAGCACCAGCCAGCCAGTCGACAATATGGGAAGGCCAAAGAAGGTCTGATGGTCCGATATTCATTTAATAATTTAATGTACTTGGTTTAATTCTTAAGGCGTCAGACAGTGGTGGACCCATTTTGGGGCGGGTAATAAATAATTTCATTCTAGTAACGCCCACGTCTTTCGAGACCCCCGCACACAGCGTCTTTCGAGCGTTAGCGTCTTGCCTACCCACGCCCCCTATAGCGATACAACGTCCGCGTGACGGCGACTCGACGCAACGTAGTATCCCTAAGTTGTCGACGCAACGCCAACACTGAGCGACAGCTTTATTAAGCTGTCGCTCAGTGTTGCACTATTGTGCCGGACGTCGGGTATACTGTTAGACTGTTGGGTTTCTTACAGGCCTTAAAAACATGTGTTAGAAACAAATCATATTTTACCAGATTCCCATTCTTATGAAATCTTACATTTTTGCGAAAAAAGGACTACGTCTGGGTGTCTTAGAACAGATGGAAATAATTATGTACAACAACAGGGGTTTTATAATTAATGAACAATTGAATTTTGCATTTTTGCTTTATTACGAATATTTTCGGGTTTCAACAATAGCAATACTGGGGGTAGCGGGGTATAGATACACCAACTGTTCTGAACGAGCTCACTCACGGGTTAAGAACCTTCAGCTCGCCCTCTTCATCCGGTGGCGCAGTCAAGGCCATCAGCGGCCAACTGCAGTGTCCTTCATAAAAAAAAAACGAGCTCACTCTTCGGCCGAGCGTCGAGCAGTCAACAGTCCCAGAGGATGCCTCGTGGAGAGGCGAAAACGTGTCGGGTATATTTTTGGTGATGGTTTGTGACTATAGTTGCGCTTGTGTTATTTATTTTATGAATAATTAACTGCATGGAAAAATATTCAACACAAGCGCAGCTATTTTGCACGATTTAATCATCACTGGGTTCGCGGTGTAGCAAATTAATTTACTTCCATTTTTATTAACATGGACTTCTGCAAAGTAACGCCTGAATCTATTAATTAATTTTATATCTTTTTGGTTCCTCTTTGTCGTGAATTTTCTCGCGCTACAATAGCACATCTTGAGAATCAACACATTCCCTGATCATTTTATTGCTTCTTGTATGACGTTTGACCTTCTAATATAAAAATAAGCCTTCGTAAATTTAATAATTTGGACAACATCCACAGGACGTGGTAGTACGTATTCCCTTCGACATAGAGAACGGCGGTAGCGGTGGATCCGGCGATTACACCGACACGCCTCGCGCCATCAAACCTCGACGCGGCAGACCCAGTGTTCGGGTAAAATCATCTTCCTTGGCATTATTGCACAAATACACCAATCTTCGTTATGAAGATAAAAACGGCCATGCATAAAATATCGCTGTCTCACAAATGAAAACAATGTCATCCAGCCATTGTCGATAACGTAACTTAAACAGTGTATGATCTATATGATCTATATGAACACGAGCAGTACATTTAAACAATCTCCGATACCGTTATAGATTAATTATTTTATTGCTCTCTGTTTTATATGTATAAATAGCGGCCAGGAGGTTGGGACAGTAGTGGTGCGCTAGGAAGAGCAGCAGAGCGCGCCTTATTGCGCCGAGAACAAGATTCTCGTAAAGCCATACACCAGTTGAAGCATTTACAGTCGCGCCATATGCAGGTACCAGTTTCTAAGTCCAATTAATTAATCAACCAGCTGTATTTCAGTCTTACTAAATGTGACATAAGGTTTGATGTTTTCCATGGAGTAGGACACCACGAATGTGAAAGGCCTGTTTCATATAATTTGAATTTCTCTTGATCACAGGATTACATGGAAAGAGTAACGCTATCTCAAGCCGTCAATAGTATCTGCGGCCCGGAATCGTCGTCGTCACACAGCTACATGAACATTGACAACGATCTCATGTATATGGACCAAACTGTCTCCTCCAACGTATTGGATCCCACCATATCTTACTCCAAAGAACCTCCAATGGGCAATGAGACTATGACCTCGAGTTATTCCACTGCAACAACCACTAGCGAGTCCTCTAACGGAGGCATCAGTACCGCCATGTCTCAATATGTTAATGCTCTAAAAAGCGCAGGTCTACCCACTGATCTTCCGATACTTTTTGAATCCGGTGATGGTTCCTACATAAATGTTAACGAACAGGTTCTTTTAGACATGGTCCAAAGCAGTGAGATCCAATACGAAGTAATCGAACAACCTAATATCATTGAAAAAGTTGCAGATCCGAGTGAAATTAAAAGCATAGACGATCTTTCAAAGTCTATCGAGAGAGGGGAAATGTTGATGGGGAACAAAGGTTATCCAGGAAATGATTATGGTAAGGATACCAGTCAGTACAGTCGTCACGAAGATGCTATTAACAGCTTAAATGCAATCTTGCCCGATAATTTGGAACCGTTCGCTGAGCAACAAAATTTCGTTGTACTCGATCGTCTTCAAGAAAGCAGCAACATGGATTCTGTGAACGCCAATGACTTTTCATGTATTGATGGCGACATGCAATTTTTCACGAAATCTATGAGTGACGATGTCAAAAAATATTACGAAGAACAACAACTGAACGATGCAAGGGTTATGGAACAGTTGTGTCCAACGAGCACTACATTAGACACTAACTTCAGCATTTCATTGCTCGATACAAAAAGCACTAACATGAGTCAGCAATATAATCCTTTGAATCATGAAGATTTAAGAAGGAACGAAGATTGCTACTTTGGTCTACAACTTCCACAGACTTCCGATTTTAAGGAGGATGCCTTGGACTGTCTAATGGCTACACCTAAAAGAACTGATGAAGACCATAACCAACTTGATAAACAAGCTCAGGAAAGAGATGAAATAATTCAAGATTTGATGAATATCGAGAAAAATATGGCCCAGAACAATAATGGAGAAGGAGTCAAGTCTAATTTTGACTCAAATGTACAAGATTTCAATGATACTTTAAACGTCGACGCAGTGTTTAATGAGGATCCTAATAATATGCAGGGTGAGATGCATTCTGATAAGAACCATAAAAACACTGAAGACTTATCTAGTGACATAACATCAAGTGGTTTACAATGGGACAATATTGATATTAGCAATAAGGGTAATGAATGTGACGAAAATAGCGATATGACGGAAAGTGAACGTACTCGTATTTCAGACTCGCAGTTTCAAGACTCGGCGATTGACCTAACTGGAGCAAATAACATGAAAGGTGTTGGGATTGAACTGGATGAAAGGGTGAATAAAGAAAATGAACCAACTAATGACGGTGATCGAGGCATAAGTTCAGGTTTAGAAAACGACATTCCTTTTGCTGTAGGGTTACTTCCCTTGAAACAAGTGCAGCCTACTGAAGAAGGAAGTTTGTTGAAACGAAAAAATTCAATCGATGATCTGTTAGATAATGTCGACGCGAAATGTTTAAAGCGTAAAGTGAAGTATAAGAAATTGTGATTTGTTACGATAGAGTTAATACTTAAAATAAATTGTTTTACATTAAGTGTTTTATAATAATTACATTATACAATTATAGCATAGTAGAATACGACCATGTAGGATAACTCCCTTCAAAATAGCAGCGCGGCTTGTGTGCACGCACGCACCGTACGCCGTGTTCGCATAATCTCGTAGTGTACCTACTTGCGTTGCATTGCGGGGGTCGTCTCACGCACTATTCATTAAACAATTGAAGCGTTCGCTCGATGTTTTAAAAATGACATCAATAATCGTGTTTATTATTGTTTATCGGTAACCAGAGTGCTGCGAATTCAGAATTTTCGTTATTCATGATACCTACTAAACATGAGACGTGAAAGATGGAAAAAAATGTGTAACCTATAAAATAACATTTTTTATTTATTTAAGTTTGGGAGCCCAGCGGTTAGCAATATAGGCGTTAGATGAAAAGCTCTCGAACGAACTCTTAGGTTCTGATCTGAATGTTCTGGATACAGGAAATTCCTAAGTTTAAGATCCAAGTAATTAGTGTGGTCGTTTAGCACATTTTTTTTTTTCATAACATTGTTTTTCTTTAATAACTGTACGAGCTGCTTGTCTCGTACAGTAATATGTCAGAATACGTCAGGTGATATCAGCGAGATGATGCAGGGAGATGTCAAATATGCTGTAGAAATAATACTCGACCGATACCACGGAGTAACTTTATTGTACTGAAAATTATAATTTATACATATTGCACGTGCACAATGTAGGGTGCGACGTTGCATATTGTCAGTTGCACAATAATGTACGTTGACCCGTACATACTCCCGACACACAAGGAAGAAATAAAATAAAAATGTCATTAAAAATTGTAAATATGCAAAATATAAATCATATAAATTAACAATGTAAAATGTTTAAATATTCCAACTTAAAATATAAAAACTGTTCTTAAATATTTCACTTATATGTCACTATAAATTGTCAACTTAAAAATTTAATATGAAAACAAATTAAGAGCAACAAAAATATTAATTAACTAGGTTTGTAGAATTATTTTTAAATAAAAGTGAATTTTCTTCGGCATCGTTGGCGAGGTACCGGTATCCACACTCGCCATGGAACCTCTCAATCCGCTAGTCATTCTTCCGGACGGCAACATAGAGCGTGGCGCAGGCAGTGACTATTACGTCAGTGAGTGACGTCTCATCCATCGCAGAGAGATGGGTAGAACTACGTTGCGCGGGCGCTCTTTCTTGCAGGTTGCATCGCTTAGATTTTATGTATCATCCTAAGATCCCGAGTAATGATAATACTGGTCCAATGATGCTTGTGTAGATAATAATGTAGTGCGTGTTATTGCTGTTGGTAAACTGTTCTAATTGTTGTTGCTTCATGATGTCAATCTTCTGTTGGATTTCTTCATATGTTATTTCATGGTTTTCAGGAACAAAATTGTCAGGTAATGATATATTCATGATTTCGTTCAATGATAACTGAGTGTCTTGCATGTCAAGGGCAACAGTGGGACGTATATTTACTTGATTGATATAATCATGCTGAGAATATATCAAAAACTTATCACACATCCCGGTTCCGGGCTTAATAGTCCATTGCCTCGTAATTGTTTAGTTGTTATTTCCGACGAACATATGATTCGAACGCGGCACTCGATGCAACATGAGTATAGCCATGTGTCGCGTGCGTGCAATTTGATCCACCTATCAGCACATTTCTTTGCGACAGGTGTGCAATATGGTTTGTTTTCATTATTTATTTGCATTTGTAAGTCGCACAGGGATTGCCCCATGGTCATTGAATGTATGGGCTGATTCACCGGGCAAAACATCTGTTGATCAGTGTGATGGATGCAGTGTTGCATGTCATTTTCTGTCATAGGTATTAGCGTATCTTTTTTAACATTCACAGCTAAATATTTTGTTGCGGTGGTTGTATAAACAACGCTTCCCTGTTTTCTTTGAGGCATGTCAATAATCTAAATGATTATCACTAGTATCAGGTTTTTACCACGGTATGACTTCTTTTTATTTTCCCGATATTTCGGAACGGTTGCACGCTCCATGGTCACGGGTTGACTGGACGGCGGCAGATGACAGCTTTATGAGCAGACATATCTGTCTACCCTCTTGCGCTGTCGACGACTACCTTCATCGCGATTTGTTGTGGCGTTACCATTGTCACTCACTTTTTTCACACAAACCACACTCACTGTATCCACACGCGAAACTGAACTCGAGGTGTGCCTTGGTTGCAAAACATACAAACACTGCGATGTAGTGTCGGGTAGTCTTAATTCCTCGTTCTTTATTTGCTTTCAATTCTACTTGTCCCGTGAAGTCAACTCCGGCGTGAGTGAAAGGCCGGGAGGGCGTCACTCTTGGTTCTGGTAAGTCTGCCATCAATTGGGACTGGGTACGATGATTAAATCGAGTACATCTGAGACAGTTTGTTATGTATTTCTTAACTGTGCGACTTCCTCCTAACACCCAGTAATTTTGCCTCAAAAATGTCAAAGTAAGTGTAGGACCACCATGTAGCGTCTTTAAATGCTATGTAGGCTATGCTGAGTGTGTGCGTTATATGTTATATAAATGAGCTTGATTTATCAATAATTCTGTCAATCTGGAATCCTTGGGTATAATTATAGGATACTTTGTGTTCTCGTTGAGTTTTGAATGACGTAGACGTCCTCCCACTCGCAACAGATTATTTTCATCCAAAAAGGGTTGCAATTGTAGTAAATTACTTTTCGCCATGACAACACCTTTTCTTTTTAATTCCGAAATATACGATCGGAACTCTTTAGTTTGTATCACACGAATTACTATTATCAATGCATTATTTATTACACTCGCTGTTATGTAATTCGTATTGTCAGGTGCATCGCGGCTAATGCCCTCGGTGTCATGTTGCGGTCTTGACGATTGACGATGCACAATGTTTATGAAACGTAAGATTCGGGCAATCACTCTTACTATATGCATAATCGAGTGATGTTTATGTAATAATTCTTCAATAATGTCAGTAGTTTCGACCATTGTTGTGCATATTTGGGGCTCGTTTTTCATCTCAATCTGAGGCATGTCAATCGTATGAGTGTCATTTTTGGAAATTGGTTTCTTGATCCACGCAGGTCCTTCCCACCAGAGCGTAAGTTCTGTCAACTGAGAAGTGGTAAGGCCTCGAGTTGCGCAATCAGCTGCATTGTCATTTGAGCTCACATGTCGCCAGCATGAAACTGGCATAATGTCAAGGATTTATGTTGTACGGTTAGCAACAAACGCCTTCCAACGAGACGGCTGTCCTTGAAGCCAACCCAGTACGACTAAGGAATCCGTCCATCCGTATATTGGAATGTCAGTGTGTGGAAACGCTTTCAAAACTTTCTGCATTAGTTTTGATAACAGGAGAGCGCCACACAGTTCTAATCGTGGTAATGTCAAAGTATTCTTCCGTGGTGCAAGTTTTGTTTTAGAGCAGAATATTCTAACAATTTATTCGTTCATGTCATTTGTGGTTTTTATGTAAATCACTGCTGCGTAAGCTTGTTCGGACGCATCACAGAATCCGTGTATTTCTATTGATGCGTGAATATTACCAACCCATCTTGGGATTTGAAATTTGTCAACATTCTGCAAGTCATCACTGAGTTTGTTCCATTTTTTGAAAATGTCACATGGAACTTCATCATCCCACTCCATTGTCACTAACCAAAGTTTTTGAAATAATAATTTGGCTCTTATTAAGAGTGGAGATAGCCAACCCAATGGGTCAAATATTTTGGAGATTTGTGATAAAAGTGTTCGCTTGGTTGTTTTTGTTTTGTTATTGTCAATTGGATGGAAAGTAAACATGTCAGTGGCAGGGCTCCATTGTAACCATTATAAATATGCAAGTATTACATTTGCTAAAAGTTCTTTCAATATATAAACCTGTAAGAAACGTAGGGAAAATAGGGAGGTGCATTTGTTCCTGTTTCCAAATGTTAGTACAATGCAATGTGAAAATGTATAAGAATATTATGTATAGAATTATAATTTAATTATAATTTTAATATATATATATATATATATATATATTGGCATTCACAGATTTTCAAAAAATGGTACAGTCAGCAAGATAAAAGGTAATTAGTACAAAACTTTTTTTATGCCATTCGATCCGGTCTCTGGTAAGGATCAATAATCTCTATGGGACCAACTGAGGTAAGAGTACTCGAAATGTCAGAAATTGCAAAAACTTTATACCATACATTTTGTAGGGACATACTTAGTAATCAGTTTTATTCTAGGTAGGTAGTTAAGAAAACTAACAAATCAGTCTACAAATGAGAATTAAGTAAAAACAAATTCTAATCATAACATAATTTTTTAAGTTTCGAAGTAACTAAAAATAACTGCCTTCGTGGCCGAACGGTTACCATGGCCGGACTGCCACGCAGAGGTCCCAGAGTCGTTTCCCGGGCCGGGAGAAATAGTTGTATGGCCTACAATTACTTCTCTCGTGAGTTTGGGTGTAATTTATGATTGTTTATGTGTGTGTCCATGGCACCCGCGACACAGGGTTTCCATAGTGCGGGGCTATGTTGAGTGTGTGCGTTATTTATTATTATTTGCTCTGATTGCTTCAAAAATTGACACGTGAAAGCCGGTAGGAGTGCCTGATAATAATTTGTAATCAATATTAGGTTTTCGTCATTTTCCAATATGGCCGCCATACACGTCTTTTGGTGGCAGATAAAAATTTGTTCTAATTCAACTGAAAATCGGCTTGTGGAGATCTCTATAGGTGTTTGATAATAATTTGCAGTCAAAATTTAATTTCGATTCGAGTGAAAATTGCGTGGCTTCAATCATAATTTGGGATAAAAATTTTGTTCCACCGTTTTCACTCGATATAGCGGCCATACAAGCGTTCTTTTTTCTATGTAAATGGCTGTAGCAAAAACTTGCTTTGCTCGGGCTGAAATAGGGCACGAAAATATTACTAGGATGGTCTGACAATAATTAGTGGTCAAAATATATTTTTGAAATTTTTAAATATGGCTGCCTTAATAGCTTTTTAATTCTTTTAAACAAAGTTATAAGTGCCGAGGCCGTAGGCCCAGGTCTGCGGAGGGCGAAGCCCGAAGCGTCCGCACGCCATCGTACGGAGTAATAGATTACTAGTACAAGAACTCACAATTTTGTAAAAATGTAAGGCATACTTCCCGATGTAGTGGAAATGAGATACTTATAATAGCGTTGTTGCATCTCGACCGTCTCTCTGTTACATTTCTTATTTTGGAAGCTCGGGAATCGAACTACCTCATCAAGCACCCATAGTACTAACCGCTGTACCACCGAAGAGCATGAAAACACTTCGTAAACTGAACCCACCGTAGATGGGGTACAGGTCTCGTATTTCAATATAGCACGAAAACACTGACGAATACCCAATGAACACCTTTTTTTTTATTTTCAAATTGTTTACAACCTATAAGTGCAGCTAAAATAATGTGACAACCCGCTCCGAGTGAAGGGTAGGTGTTGATGCCCCGAACAGACGGGAGTTGCCCTACTTGGTCTTAATATACTATGATTATAGGTTTTATGAGGATAGGTAATAGCTAGACAATAATATAAAAACGCAATTTCCTTGTGGGTCTATTTATTAAAACATTACGTTTTTTTAACATTTATAATTATAAGGCATCTTCTCATTTACATAAAACTGGATTCAAGTCAAGATCACTCTTCCATTTGTACTATCACATGAATTTGTGAAATCCACAGGTTTAAACAAATATTAAACCTATCAATAGATAAGTTCGATCGTATAAATGGCTCGGATTGCTAGTATGAAGCTGAATAGGAATATCTACAAATAACCTTCGCTTATAAACTAAGATTACTAATGATATGGACTAATTAAAAGATGGTGAGATTCTGTAGCATGTGAATATCATCAACTTACATTAAATAATTATTGTCAATTGAGTTTGACGTAATGTAATAATAGTAAAATATCTAAACAGAAATAAACCAATAATAAAACAATTTAAAGCAATTATATAAGAAGTTGATTTTCGTGTCGGTAAGAAACTAATTTTACCTACAGGCTAATGGAGTTAATAACAAGTAAAAAATTATCTTTCTCGGTAAATAAATGCTAGATATACCTAACATATTATAATTAGTACCTAAATAAAAATAAAAAAGAAATAAATACACATCTCGACAGTCGCGAAAAAATGGCCGGATGAAATATCACAACCTAATATCAAAAAGCTGCATACGTAACAAAAGCGGGCGGAATGTTTATTCCTTATAAACGAGCAGATTCATAATCTTATAAAAATATTGGTCACGTATCAAATAGCTGCTTACAATAACAATATCACTATAGAGCTACAGACTAATATAAAAAAGACATCAAGAGAAAAACCACGTTTTAGAGAGTAAAAGTGATAAAAAGAAGAGGCCTAAATCTATTCTGTGCGTGGCGGTACTTTTCTTAACATAGTACCCATATGCATCACTGTGGTAATCTCCCATTTGGAAAGTGATTGGCGGAGAGGACATCCTTCCATCTCCTCCATTTGAATATGCAAGCACTCGCAAGTTGTATGACTTGCCTGGTGTTAAATTCGTTACGTAAGCTTCCAGTTTGTGTTCCACTGGAACTAGAGTGTCGTTAGCAGTGCTCATGTCTTGATCGATTTCCCATACTCGCACCTAAAAAGATAAAGATATACTAATTAGTTTTTCAGAATTTGTTTAGCTTGATAATTAATTAATATTGATGAGTTTTGTTTGAAAGTTGGCATTCACAATAGAAAGAAAAAAGAAGGTAGTATCCGAAAAACATTTGAGTCGCAACTTAATTAAACAAGAGATCAATAATACCTTATAGCCCAGTAAAGGCTCCTCTTCATCGGTCGGCTGCACGTATCGCCAAACTACTCTTACAGTACTCGGGTTGACAGCCCATACATTGACGGAAGCTGGCGGCTTTTGCGGGGCCTTGCGGAAGGTACGTTCTAGGTAACGCTCACTTTCCGGCCCTTCGCCTGCCGAGTTGAATGCCATCACCTGAAAGACCCGCGCGTCGTGTTAAGCCACTGTTTCGAGATCAATTATTTCATTAACATGCAAGCCTAAATGGAAAATTTACCTTAACGAAATAATAAGTGTCTGGCTGCAAACCAACGATGAGTGCCCAATTGCGCGTTGTTCTGGATAGATAGTATATACATTCTTCTTCTTTGTTGTTCTGCTTCCAATACTTTAGACGGTGTCCAATCAGCTTGCCACGTAGTCGGTCGCGCGACTGATCGATTGGATTCCAAGTCACATTCAATGCAGTCGAGTTATAAGACATCGCGTACACTAGTTGAGGTGCTACTTGAGGCATGTCTTCGGCAGAGTATATCGTTACTATTTCACTTTCAGGTCCAGCACCCATATCGTTAAATGCCTGTACTTTCACGTTATAAGGCGTAAAGAAATAGTCCAACGATATATGTACAACATGCATGCCAATATTGCCATATTCTTTGAGAAGAAGTGACTGGAATTCCACCTCTGTACCATTGCGTCGCCAAAAAATTTTATAGTGGACACCAGGCCCATTCTGTAGAGACGGTGGTAATGGAGTCCAAGTAATAGTGAGGTCACCGATCTTCCCACCTCCTCCGCCAATATTAGTTGGTGCTTGGTGTGGCTTGTCAGGTGGAGTAGAGAACTGTGGACTGGGTGCTGAGGGCTTTCCAATGCCCAAAAGATTTACAGCTTGAACTCGAAATTCGTAAACTGAATAAGGCATAAGAGCCGAATTCAAAATAACACGTTTCCTTCCATTGTATCTGTCGACTTCAATCACATTCACAACATTGTCATTTACAACTACCCAAGTGGAGTTCCAGTTCGTACGTCCTGTAACCACGTAGCTTGTAATAGGCCGGCCATTTGGATTGCTATCAGTCCATTCCAGAGTCACTGAAGAACGCTGAATGTTCAAAATTTGTAGCCCACCGGGAGGACCAGGTGGACCTTCTATGCGCAACTGAGTATGTGAAGAGACTCGACCGATTGCTGATTTAACTATACATTCGTAATCTCCAACATCAGAAAGACTTACATTGTAGATAGTTAATTCTCCGCCGTCGATTTTAATTCTCTTATCAGCATAAAAGTCTGAAGCATCTTTAATCCGAATTCCATTATGATTCCATAGATAAGCCGTATCCAAAAGGGGATCTATTTCAGCATTGCAATGTAGGAATACAGTGTTACCAACTTGAGTCGTAATACGAGGAGGAAGGCGTTCAAGGAATCGTGGCGTGCGTAAAATAATTAGGCGACCACGACTTTCATCTGAACCATATTGGTTCTTAGCTACACAAGTGTAAACGCCCTCGTCGTCTCTGGAGAGCTGCCGTATTACGAGGTTTCCACTTTCAGCTATGAATCTTTTACCTCCTGCTCCAATGACTACACCATCCTTCTTCCAAGTGAATGTTGGTTTTGGTGCTGCTTCAGGATTACATCTCAGTGTAACGTTACCTCCTTCAGAACCATATGTCTCGGATTCCAGTGGTCTTTTTTTAAACGATGGTTTCAGAGATAGAACTCGCAATTGACCTGTAGAATATCTCGCCTTCAACTGATTTTTAGCTTCACATTGGTACATACCAGGATCCCTTACGGAGTCCAAATACTTTATTATCAACACATTGTCTTGAATTACATAACGGTCCCTGTCTTCAGGCTCTAAAGTCTCCATATGTAATCTCTGACCATTCTTCCACCATGTGTAATTAACGTCAGGTATACCAAAGGCTTCACAGTTCCAGTGTAGTTCCCTTTTATTGTCTACATGTTTGTTAGACAAGGGGATTGTGAAATTGGGCTCAGCCTGTACTTTAAGAAACACACTGTTATGTATATTTGCTCTATCATTACGAACATAGCAGGTATACTCACCTTCATCTTCAACTCCTACATTGGGTATAGTCAAAACACGATCAAAATTGCTTAAATGAGCTTTCTTTGGAATGTTGCCATTAACTCTAGTCCAATTATAAGAAGGCACAGGATACCCAAATGAAACACATTCCAGTCTAACTTCCTGCCCCACAATAGGAGCTTCAGGGAATAATTTTGGAAAATTATTTGGGAATTTAAGCTGCTGATAATCAGAATGTGAATAAACAGACAATGGGAAGAAAGGTCCATTCCTACCAGCATCAGAAACTTTGCTCATTACATTACAACTATAATTCCCTCTATCAATAGTCTCTAAAGCTGAAAAGTATAGACCTCCATCGTATGAAACAAAGACACGTTTGTCCTCTTCAACAAGATTGGGGAAATAATTTCGAGCCCAGAGGAAATTTACACCTGGGTAGTATGATGGCGCATCACAATTGATGGCTTTGCCCCAGTATTGATTACCATTTTCATTTGGCCGTTTTTGATTGAATTCTCTGATGAAACCAAATGATAATCTGACTGATTCTGATCTTATGGTACCAAACTTATTTGTAGCTGTGCAGTGGTACTGTGCATTGTCCTTATCTGCATCAGGATTGTAGATCATTAGAGTACCTCCACTTATTATAAATCTTTCGTCTGCTAGAGGATTAATTTCAGTGTAAACAGGACTATCCACTTGATAGTCCTCTCTGTACCACTTGTAAACTGGGGCAGGGTAACCTCCAGCAGTACATGTGATCTGCACGTGCTGGTTTCTCAATGGATCATAAATTGTATCAACTGGCTCCTTTATGAAATACGGACCTCTTGGGATCCGTTCTGGATCATAAGTTTCAAGGCCATATGTAAAGGAACGCTCTTCTTCGATGAGATACCTTAGCCTCTGTATTTGTCCTTCACATATAAAATGGTAATACTGAGTACCTTCTACAGGTGCCAGGCCCCAACGTCCCTCTTTTTGTGAGAATTTATACACCAAGTAGTCTCGGGGTAGCAAGTTATAACTGTTGTATGTTAATGTCCGATCTTCAAAGAATGCATTTTCCAAACCTGATAACTGCGAGCCGTCTACATCATTAGCCCAGTATCCTGGTGTTTGCTGGTGAGCTCCAACGTACCATGATCCCTTTTGGGGATCTAACAGCATCAAAGTATTTATGATGAAACCATGTTCTTCAGGATTAGTTACAGCAACTAAATCAGCTTCATAAGCTTGACATATTTTACGCGCTTCATTCCTGGGTCGGTTCGGCGACTTGGTGAAGCGGTAACACGATTCCCTGTAACGTACCCAATTGGGCGGGCACCTGTAGCGTTCCTCGTAGTCTAGATTGGCATAGTAACTAGCAGTGTTTTGGGGGTCGTCGACGTCATTCTCTCCGTAGTTGTCAGAGTTGTAGCGTTCGCCGTAAGCTTCGCCGTAGAAAGGGCTCTGTGGTTGTTGGTTGTAGTCCCCTACACCGACGGGAAAGCTACCGTAGGGTATTTGCAAGCTATTCCGGTATGTTGAATTCTGTGTACTCTCCGATTGATACGGTTGCTGTGAATACGTCTGTCCGTAGGTATTTGAAGAGTCCGGCACTTGGGTGTACACACAACTCGTCACCGCGAGTAGGAGCAACGGATTTCTCATCTTCTGTTACAACAAAGAAAAACGTAATTATGAACTGGCGACGCATTTGTTTGGCACACACACTACGTTAATTGCATAAGAAAGCTTACCTCAAAGAGATCTCATTAGGATATTTTCAGAAAAATGGTTTCTAATTCGAAAATAAAAATCGGACAACATTAAACCAAGCCTCGCCCAAACTTGCTGTCAACAATGCGTTCAGAAATAAAGTTTTACCAACTGAGTTTGTAGATGAAATCATTAATATCAAATCGCGTTTTACACTATCAAAAATGTAATTACCATCAGAGAAACTCTTTGTGGCAAATGTATTTTACAACAAAGTTAGGAAGAGTGCATCAAACAAATCTATTTTCACTCTTGAGATTATTAATGTATTGTTATCGAAATGAAACATTTCCGAACGATAGTGTATGAAAAATGAACTAGTGGTGAGGCACAAAGGTGTCGATAACATGAATCGATTTTATTTAATTGATTTACGAATCTCGAAAAGAAAATATTATATAAATATATAAAGGGCGTACCTACGTACCCTTTATATACGTCCAATCAAATGAGAAATATCACTTTGATTGCAATTAGAATAATTATTATATGTGAAACAGAATGTGCTCTTAGAGTAAAAAAGTTTCGTTCAATGTCAATAGATGGCAGCACTTGGAGTAACTGCTGATGTTAGTTTTGTAACCTGTACGAGATGAAGAAGATATGTAATTGCTATTAATTGCTTTTGTGGAATTCGTGGTAACAATTTTATTAATAGTGCTAATAAGTTCTTGCTTAGTTGCCTACCTAACTGGAGTTTAGGAAGGTAAAGTAACAAATGAAATACTCGCCTCATTGTTCACATTTTATATTTTCCATGTTATCAACAAGAAATATGTGTCAATAATTATAATAATACTTACACTGTAGGTACTGCTAATAACAGATAGTTTTACACCAATTTGTTTCACTCACGAAAGTATACTAGGTTATAAATCGACATTTCATTCATTTTCTCCAAAATTCATTTACCTATGTTCACACCTTTTCCGCGCTAAATGTTATCCTTTCTAATATAATTTCATCACAGATTATTCATGTACTTCTTCGTTATTCTCCACAAGTCTGCAGGGGCGGAACTTTGCCTGTATCCGTCTTCGACCTTACAATGATCCAAAATACTTTAATCACAAGCTAAATACCTACCAATAGAAAAATATTTTATTCGTTTTCCATTGGTTAATATTCAGATGAAAGTTTCCACAAAATAAGTAAATAAAATATCTGTTCATCTTATTTACAGTGTTAATATTTTTTGCGATATGCATTACACAATATGATTCAATAATTTTATTTTCTAAATTCCTAAGAGAACTGTATAAATAAAAACAACTTGATTTTTATTAAGTAAAATAATTGTACAATAATTAATAAAAATATTTTGGACAGACAAGCAAACATAACAATGAACGAAAAATAGCTATAATAAAAAAGATCAAAGAGCATAATCTCAGGGCACATTGTAAAACAAAATATTTTAGTATTATAGAGGCCTATGTGTAAACTTCACAAAGGTGTTTCGTTCAAGCTTATTCTGACTTCAAACTTTGTATGAGAGAGGAGGAATTCCATGCATCTTAAATTTACACTCATTGACATTAAGTACGGATCGTGTGATAAGGCTCTTCGACCCTGTGCCTTGGCGCGTTTGCACCTCTCCCATCCACATACAAACAAAAACCATCGATGGACATACTATTGCACACTCAGTTGAAGATTATGCTATTCTTACATTAATATTATGGTAACTACATCTCGTTTAAACTTAGCGATTCGCCACATTACCTACTTATCTTTACATACAAAACACCGTACACCAACGTTAAATAGCACCCATGAGAATATCATACACTTAAAGCATTATTTATATGCGAAAAAAAGTTAATATTATACACTATTTACAAAATGTTGTTCATGACATGAAACAAACTCGAAATTCGCTTTCGTGCGACGTCAAAATGGCTGCCTTAAATTAACAGTCTCAAGTAACGAATATTTTACTTTGTTCATAATGAGATATCTTTGTTTAGATTACAGTAGTCAGTCGATTGGTATAAGATCTCGCTGTTGAGCCGTGGACCATCGTCTTCTGCGAATCTCGTAACTTTATATAATATCTTTTCCAAGCAATATTAATTTTTTGGGCATACATTTTCTATAACATCTTTCATATTTCTCTATTCTATCTGTACTTCTATCTATTCCTCTTCCAGTGTTGAATGCATCGTCCATGATTTCCACTTAGGAGTGAAATCTCTGAACTGTCTTTAGCGACTCTTTTTTGAAATTCCATGCTGAGCTGAATGTCGTCAGCTTATAAGGACGGTCTCTATCTTGAGCAGTTGTCTCAGTTTGTCTGTGACCCTGATAAGGGACACTTTGGAGGCTCGCACGTTGACCTTTTCTCCAGCGCCAAGCAGTTGGTGACATTGCGCGCGCTCTAAGAACTCTTGGGTGCGGATCTCTCGAAGCAATTCTTTTGGTGAGCCTGAACCGCAGTGGATCTGCTTTAGTAGGCTTTCTTTTGATTTGATCTGCAAAAAGATTTATTTAATAGTTATTTGGTATGGCAAGGCTGCAAAATTGTTGTTTGACGCGAGTGCTGTATTGAAACCTGAGTAAGCGAAGAGAATCCTGGGCAAAGCGAGAGTTTCAAGACACAAAACGCAAAACAACTTTGCTACCGAGCGAAACACACAACTTTTCACCTCACTTTAGCGAGGAAAATGCTAAATGAAAGAAAAACAGTTGAACTATAACAAAATAATTGTAGGTGTCATTATGTTCTTTTTTCATTGAAAGAAAAATCTCAAATCAAAAATCTTTTCCACTCTAACGTGAAAAAAAAAAAACGCTTTTGCGCGCAGATTTCTAATGAGAAAGAAAACCTCTCGGAGCCCGTGAGGTAAAAAGATTTTTTTTATTGCAATCTTCCCCTTGCTTTACATATGACCATGTTTAGCTTGGATTGGGATCTAATTTATTTTTGCTTATCTATTATTAGTTAAAAACACATGTCCCAACCAATCTTGAATAATTGACATACACTGTTTATTACCTGTAGCAAGTTGATGACATCCTGCAGCAGACACCAAAGCCCTTCTGAGGGCTGTCCAGAAGTATTCCTCAAGCTGTAGAAAGGAGGTAAAGGCGCTTCAGTGCACTGCATCTCTATAGTCGCGTCTGGCGGGGGAGGCGGTGAAGATGGTGGAGGCGAGGCGAGGGGATCACAGCCCAGCTCTTCGCGGTCTGAAAGGCAAAAAAAAGATTGACAGAAATCCTTTCATAAGAAACTTAATGAAACCTGGAACAAAACTCACCGAAAAGTTCAGCAGGTGATCGAAACTTCCATGGCTCGACAGCTTTTCCTTGAGCGTCAGCTATATGTAGTTTCAAAAATCTTGCCGCCGATCCCTCTGCCAGTTCTTCTGGCGTCTGCCCCGCATAAGTGCCCAACAAAGGGTCAGCGCCGTATGCCAAAAGTAGTCGTATCATCTCTACGTGACTATTCTCGCATGCTTCGTGTAGCGGTCTGAAAAGTAGGATGGTTTAAAAAAGAACCAGATTTTTACTTTTTTTTGTTTAAAACTGCCTCTGTAGTCAAACGGTTACAGTGCTGGTCTGGCACGCAGAGGTCCCGGGTTTGATTCTCGGGCCGGGAGAAAAGTTTGTTTGGTCTGCACTAATTTCCCTCGTGAGTTTGGGTATAATTTGTGGTTGTATACACATACAACCACACACATGGACACACGTCCATGGAACCCGCGACACAGGGTTTGCGTTGTGTGTGCATTATATGTATTTATTTAAATTATCCTGTAGATCGATAATTTCGTACTTTTTTAATTCTGTTATTTGCTTAACATTAGTGACTATGCAGCAATAATAAAGCACCTTTGTTGATAGAAAGAAAAACAACTGTGATTCGACTAACGAGTAGAGTCGACAACAAAGACGCTTGGAACCTGTGCTTGGAACGTAAATAAATCACCAGTAACACGATAAATAACAAAATTAATCGCACGTCAAACGCTTTTGGCTAACATACGTACGTGATAAGATCAATCTAGGTCAGCGTATAAATAATTTGGCGATGTGCCAAGATGGGTTCATTTCCGCGTGTTATTCGGATGTTGTCGTGCTTTAGCTCACCTGATACCCCCTTGCGCCGCCGCAGAAACGTTGGACCCGTATTGCAGGAGAAGTCTTCCAATCCTAACATGGCCCTTAGCCGCTGCCACGTGTAATGGTGTAAACCCAGCGTTGTCTTTAGCAGAGGGTTCTGCTTCCATTTTCTCTAGGCAGTACGCGACACAGTCCTGAAAAAATAAAATAATAGTCAAAATTTTTGTCTTTACAGGTATATACAATATCATAAAAGTATATGTTAAGTTAATGCTTACCGTATAACCAAGTCTTGCTGCGCGGTGAAGATGCGTCTCGCCAATGCTCTTATTAATGAACCAGCTTTTGATTTCTTTCTGTATGTCGTGTACTGATTCAGGACTCGGTTTTGGCCCTGGTCGACGAATTTTGTTATTGGGAGTATCTTCTCTCCGTATGATTTTCTTCTTTTTTCTGATGTAATCGAATCCTGAACTGTATTTTCGTCTTCCAAACAATCGTTTTAAACGTCTTTTGGTGCTGCCTTCAACTGTGCTTGGTGAACTACCCTCTTCTTTACGTTTTTCGTTGTCCTCGACAGCGTCATCTGTTTTTTCTTTTTTAATTTTGTTGTTTAAATCTTTCAATCTTTTGTTAGCTAGGGACTTCATTAAACTATTTCTTTTCTTCAGCCTCATCAGTCTTCCCTTAGCGTCGTTTCTTTTTAGTGATTTTGTACTTCTAAGACCATCTCGTATTGAACTGGATCTCCGCTTCAATTTATCTTTTACAATTGGTTTGGGTTTAATTTTTGGCTTTGATTCAGGTTCTTTTTTTACCGTAACTTTTGGTTCCTCTTCTACTGCTGACGTTACTTCGTCTTCCTCTCTACACGATGTTGGCGGAGCCGACGCAGGTCTTTCATCTCCAAATACTTCTTTGATAGTAGCTCTCTTTTTCAATACTCTGCTCTCTGTTCGTGTCCTAGATTTCAGTATTACGGGCGAAAATTCTTCTGTAGCGCCTAATAAACCTTCCGTATTTTTAATGAAGTCATTTCTGAAGGCTGCAACTGTTTCCTTTCTAAAAGGACCGAGGTAAAATATATCTTCCATCAACTTTTCTTTCTTCGCACTTAAACTCCCTTTATTTAAATTTTTAACAAGACCTAGACTTGGCGTTGGAAGTAATTCGTTGGCATTACCACTTTTAGGTATTAATTTTGGTGTTTTTTCGTCTTTCTCTTTATTTTTTCTTTTATTTGACTCGTTAGCCTTGCCACATTTCTGCATAAGAACATCAACAATAGAACCTTTCTTTTTAGCTTTTGTAGATGAGAACACAGTTGACGTAGAAGCTTCAGAATCATAATGCAACCGGTTTACTGCCGACCAGCTGGAATTAGATTCAAGGTCACTGTCAAGATTGAGTTTATCTGGACGTCGTGCGCACAGATCATCTGTTGCAGCGGATGGTGTTAATGAAGGCGCAGGTGACAGGGGAGCAGGGTCTAAATCTGGAAGGGAAGTAGAACCACGCGTGAAAAATGTTCCATGGCCGCGGACAAACGGCCCTCCTGATCGTCCTCTTGGAATGGCAATCAGCCTAGGTGGCATGCGTAATGATCGTTTGTATCTGTAAAGTTCTTCTTCCCATCCAGGATGGAAATCTGAGCCGTCGCCAAATCCTGGTTTACGTAACGGCGTGGAGGTATTAATTATACTATTTTCTTGCTTTTTCGATGATGTTTTTACAGGAGTTTTGTTTACAGGTGCAACTTTACTCTCTTCAGTTTTGATGCTCTTTCTCACACGAAGTCTTGTGGTTACAGCAAGGTCCTCATCATCGCTATTTGAACTTGACTCCTCATCCTGATTTTCATTTTTATTATTATCTATAGAAATTGGTTTGCCCTTGCATCTCTGTGATTGTCTTGTTAGTTTTCCTTTATTAAGTTTATCATCTTTATCTTTAGTTAATGAGTCGATAGATATTCTTGTGTTTTTATTTAAATCTACGTCAAAACACTCTAACTTAACATAAGCGGATTTTTCAGAAAGGTCTTTTAATAATTGATATTTCATTTCTTTTTCTTTTTGCAATTTGCTTTTAATTAGGGGTTCATCGTCGTCTGTGGACTCTAATTCTTCTTTGATTACAGTTTTTATTGGTTCTTCTAAAGTTTCTTTTTTCACGATTACTGTCGTTTCTTCATTTTTGTCGAATCTAGATTTAAACTTCCCTGAAATTTTGTTCTTAGTAGGGCTGTCTGTTGTCTTACAATTTTTTTTGAGCATTTTATTTTTTTCAGATTTTCCTATAACTTTGCCCTTATTATCCTTTTTTCCTCCATCTTCTTTTATGGGGGATTCTTGAGGTAATGATTTTTTAATTTTACCTTTTTTATTTTCGTTTTCTGTATTTATTTTATCTTCGTCGCTTGAAGATGCCTTCTTATTTTTTACTTGGTCTTTAAGTTTGTCTTCTGATAATGATTTTTTCTGTAAATTTGGTTGGTCTCTTTGTTTTTCTTTTTGACCTTCGAAAAATGTTTTTTCCTTCAGCGTCGGTTTTTCAGGTGGGCTTTCTTTTGCGCCCTCGGATATCAGTTTCTTTTTCAACTTTGGTTTATCGGTTTGTATTACCTTTTTATCTTCTTCAAATAATAATTTCTTTTTCGGCTTTGATTTGTCTACATGTTTACCGTTTTCATCTTGTAAAGTCTTTTTAGTCTTGTTTGGAGTAACTTTCTTTTCGTCGCTGAGTTTTTTGTCTTCGCGCAGAACTGACGATTTTTTTCCTCTGGTCTTGTCCTTATCTTTTTGTAGACTCTCTACAGATAATTTTGTAGTTTCATCTTTTTCTATTGAAGTGTCAATTGTAGAGGTCTTTTCAGTTTTAATAGTAATTTGCATAGAGTCTAGGGCTCCAGATGGTTTAACAATCTCGTTGTTACAGGACTCATTTACAAACTTTTCGTCAGAGTCTTTGATTTCGTCTTCGTCAACAGGTTCTTGTTTAACAACTATTGCAGGATCTAACGTGGCGTTTCCGATAACGGTCAAAGGCTGATTAACAGTCTGCATAGTAGACGATGCTTCTGTTGTCTCTACTTTTGGAGCTTTAGAATTTTTAGCATCATTATTATTTTCTGACGTATCGATACGCTTTCTATGATTTTTCTTTTTGTGGCATCCTGATTTCAGTTGCTCCATAAAATTATCACAAGCACTAGCCCAGTCTAAATCATCTTCTAATGCAGGGCTTGGGGAAGTTATATTCGGAGATTCCAAGTTGTTCAATATATTTTCTATTTTAATGGGCACTGCAGCGTCTTTTTCTATTTCTTCAATGTTCATGGGTTCTGATTTTACCTCTGGTATTATTGCTTCAGGTTTATCACCCTTTATGACTGATTCTAGTCTTAAATCTTCCCGAATTTGATTAAATAGATGTTGTTTTTGCGACTTTGGAAGAATTTTGCCCTTTTCAGGTTCATCTTGTTTTAAATCAGTTTTCATGATGTTATCTGATGGCAAAACTTTCAACTCCCCTTTTGTTCTTATTCTAGAAGCTACGTCATTTTCTAAAGAACTTTTGGGCTCTGTATTCTCGTATCTCTGATACTCCGAGTCCCGGGGCAAAGAGTCTATAGCTTTGGGCATTTGAATGTGATGGCCTACGTTAGGAACATTTTGAGAATGCCCCGGTTTAGGCACACCTTTTGTTGTCATTTCTGTGTCTTCTTTTGTAAGATCCGTTATTTCTATTACAGAATCATCAACATCATCGATAACGATAACATCCCGTATTTGTCTTGCAGGTCTTGGCGGTTCGACAAAACCAGATTGTTTTGTTTCTAAACTGTTTCGTAATATACTTAGAACTCGCTTATCGGGCATTGCCGATTGTAGATCTAAGTGATGATGATGGGCATCTTTATGGCTCGGAATCTTTTGTATAACATGACGGCTGTTACTAGACGGATTCCTGTCATGATAGTGAGCATTATAATCAGCTCGGTCACGTGTTGGTGGTTCTACAGGATAAGGATATCGATGTTTTAGATGTGTGTAATGTTCACGATGGCTACTTGATGACGCAACGCGCTTTTGTTCATTTTGGTAAGCCTCAAACTGTTTATGACTGCTATAACTATACACTGGTCTACTCATCAATTCATGCTGTTCGCGTGCTGACAAACTCATATGGTCTATTCTGCTATCTGCCACCCATGTCTCATATCGCACTATTTTCTCTGGAATGTTACTAACAATAGGGCCAGAGGGACGTTTTCTCTCCTCTATGACGAAGTGTCTATCGTCTCTTATTCTGTTGTCGGGACGACGTTCGTCATTTGCAGGTCTCGTAAGATCTATTCGAGGAACGTAATCGGTTCTAGTTGGTGGTACATTGTATTTATTGCGATCCGGATATACGTGTTGTCGAGGTTCTACTGGAAATGACTCAGCAACGGATCTAGGAGCTTCGTAGGTACCATTGTATCGTACGGAATGGTTACTAGGCTGGTCTAGAGGGCGAGGCGCACTATAGCTGTAACTTGCACTTCTATCTCTGTACTGTGAAAAGTCTGGAGCAAAGTCTACTTTGTGAGACTCGCCGAAACTCGTGTTTGCTGTGCCACGTCGGCTACTAGAGGTAGGTCGTGGTTGAAGTGGTATTATTTTGCTTTCCGTCGTAGCAGAATCTACAACATCATCTTGAGTAGTTGAAGAATCAGCGGAGTTTTTTACTGTTTTTACTGATAAGTCCAAAGGAGACTCTCGCTTCTGTTTAGTTTGATTCATTTGATTTACGAGTGATGTTACTGTAACTGTCATTCGTGCTTGTTGATTTGGATATCCAGGTTTGACATTGGAACGCGCAGGAGACGTTTGAACTGGATTTGATGGCGGTAAATCGTAATTTGATTTTGGTGCTGCAACAGGTCTATGAACGGATCTCGATGGCGTTGATGAGCTTTGGACAGTATTGGCAGCGGGCGCGTACCGTGTCGAAGATGACGATGAAGCTGCAGAATAATGGTACTGCGCCGGTCGTGTTTCTACAGGTCTAATACAAGGGTACTCAGCCCGTCTCGACGCTTCGTGCGTGAGACGTGAGTCAAGTGAGTAAGGTTGCAAGGGTGCTGGTGTTCGCTCCAGAGGTCTCGTAGGATAAGGAATTCCGGCAGCTTCAACAGGCACATGTTTATATGGCGCTGGTGGGTGCGTCGGTACCGTCTGTGTGACTGGCGGCCCAGGTCGATAGCCAGGATAAGCTTGTTGAGGATCATACTTCCGCGATGGAAGTTGAGGATGACGATCGTACTGTACAGCCCTGTTGTATGGTGAAGGTTCACGGCGTTGCGAAAGAGGTGGGTACTGTACGGCTCGAGTGTCCGTTGGCAAACGTTGCTGCGGAGATGGGATCGATGGATGGTGAATAGGAGGCACGCGGTCGTTGGGCAACGGCGCTGGTTGCGCGGGTGCAGGCGCATATCGCTGCGACGAGCCCGTAGGCACAGGAGGCTCACGCATACGCGGGACGTGCTGAGGCATCGTACTGGATAAGCGAGCGTACGTTTGTGGACTACCATGACGCGGTGGTGAAGGAGTCGGCGGACCATGTACACTACGACCCGAGTCCGGTAGGTTAGATTCGTATGGGTACCGCGCGTACGTTTCAGGTGGACGCGATGCCTGATACGGATCGGGTGGGCGGCCTGGCGCAAAAGGATCTAGTGAGCGTACAGGTGTGTGGCCACGGTGCAACGTCGGCCGATATTGCGCTGCATCTAAGGATGAATGCGACGTAAGCTCAGCCGGGACGTATGGCGGCACGGGTGCTGAGGGCGGCGCGACATGCACGGCTGGCGAGGGCGCAGCTGACGGTGGGCGAGCGGGCGACGGAGAGGGTGCAGCGGGTGCCGGTGCAGGTGAAGCCGCAGCTGGGGCAACAGCCAGCGTAGACGCTGGCGCCGGTGCCGGCGGTGGCTTGCGGATGATGTGGCTAGGTGGTGAAATAGCCGCAGGTGGCTCTTCATCGTCATCGGGCTCGGGCTGTTCGCGGCGCTTCTCAGCGGCTTCACGCATCACAGTAGCTTTGTGAATGATGTGTGGTTCGGGCTCTAAAGGCTCGGAGGGTGGGCGTGGTGGTGCTGCGGGTACAGGCAAAACTGATGGCGGACGGCTTGCGGGTGAAGGCGTGGTAGGATGCGCATCAAGCTGTGGTTGTGGTTCATTTTGCCACTTGGTGGGACCACCCCCTTCCGATTGTGCTTGTTTCGGTAGCCCCATAAAGTACTGTCTTGTGCCCTCTAGGACATTGCTGAACACATCCATGCTCCGCACTTTTGCTGCGTCAAGCGCCACCTAAAACAACACAAATTCAATTTAATACAATTTCTACAATTCGTAAAGGACAAGATATGATTTTATAAGGATTAAACGATTATGTGTTAGTGCAAATGTAGTATGTAGCCCACGGTGCGAGGCGGCGGTTCAGAGATGTCGGGGTCATTGGCCCACAGCTGCCCTTGAGCGTACTACGCCCCCGCACGGCACCTACCAACTCCGCATAAAGTTCACGTGATATCTGCCTACCTCTACGAACTTCCGCGCGATCCTTCACAACATCGATAAAAAGTTTGCTGACCTTCGGACTCAATTCATTACCATACCATGTTCAAATCGATTGTATTTCCGCTAACGAGTTGAAAAAATGCAGGAGCGATCGTATTTTGGAATATCTCATAAAAACGAAAGTGTACGTTTGGACTTCACAATTCTGCTGTAGATATCACTGTATCCATGATAATAATAGTTAACTCATGAATCCACTTTGCATTATTATCGGAATACACAAATTTAATTTCGCGAGCATTGACCGCTGCTCCATCGTCATTTGTCATTAGTCATTACCATTCAATGTTCAAGATCAAAACGTAAAGACTTTAGACCATTTGGACGACTGCGAGTAAAATTAGTTTGATGCTATATATAATAACGTAGGTACGTCATCAACCTAGTACGTGAGATGAATTTGTATCAAAGAGACCATAAAAAATTTAGTGAGTTATTAATAATGCTTAAGCATTTTCCCTTTATACTTGCAGCTAAAAGGGGGGTTTTTTATAAATTGGCCCTTTGAGGCCCTCCGGGTTCAATATAGCAACGCGCTCGGTTTATAGTGCATCAGGGATGTTCGCACAAGCGCGCGTGGACTGTTTTCCCTACCGCATCCAGAGCTTCTTCGCGCACAATCTAAATATGAGGTATTGCTGTGAATTGCATCTTTGTAACAGTGTTTATTATGTAATTGTGTACCTACTAACATTAATGCTAAGTGTTTTTACTCGAAACAAATGAAATTACTACTAAGTTTGAGAATAAGTTTCTTAGGCAAGTCTATGAGCATCGTATTATATGGTCTCCTCACCACTTTTATTAATTTCACTATAAAAAAATCGCTGTCCTATTTGCAACACGGTTATGTTACTAGGGCGTAAAATGGACAAGCTGTAAACCATGGCATCGCGACTCTTTGTAAGCACGATGCGATGTAAGATAGTCTACACAGGGTGTGTACAAATGAACAGATAGGTTCGGCGGAAATCGTTTCCCTGACGACGTGATCGATTGCGACTAGACACGAAGTGTTGCAATAACGGATCCAGATTACGTAAACTGGCACGTGAAATAACAATCTGTATATCTCTGCACTTATGAGATATGAGGTTATGACTATGATTATACACTTAATTAGTGCTAAATGACTAACCCCGTATCAAGTAGACGGAAAGTGAATAGCAGGCTTTATACAGATACTATACTCGTGCGCTATTGAGCGCGCGTGTAAAGATGTTGGAAGGAAAAGGGAAAGACCGACACTCCAACACGCGGTCTATCCTGCGCGATTAACCTTTACACGGACGCTCTTTCCGTCGTAACAACAACAAACACCAGGAATCGCGCACGGAAGAACGTTAGTTTAAAAAACTTTTAACAGGTAATCGATAGCGCGTACAGGCTTTGCCGTGCGCAATCCTCTACGCTCCTGGTGTGACCTGAATGTATAAAGGGAGCTAATTCCCTTTAGCAACAGTCTTTTTTATTTCTCTTTATACTAGTCAATATTTTTCCCATAGACTTTACGAGGTGATCTTTGACCTTAATTATTTCGGGTCACAGATCAAAATTGGACTTAATCATTTCCTGTACAATTGTGTTATTTGTGCTAGTTTAAAATGTCTTGCATATCGGTTGAGAAACTACCGAGTAATTCCTTTCGTAGATTATGCAATTTGAGTGGATATTACGATTTTATGAATAAGCTTCGGAGTGCACATCAACGATTATTCTTTGATTACGATAACAATAACGAATAGTCCAAAAATCTGCTTAATAATAAACGTCACTTAGCACTTACTCGTAAGCTGTAGCTCAAGGTCGTTCCTAATCAAGTGCAGTCTTCATCATTTTAGATAGCATCTTCCAAGTTGCCGATGCGGCAATTTGGAAGATACTGTAATTAATACGCGGTAAAATTATCTCGAAATCTGTAAGGCACCAAAACACATTTTATACAAGAGTTGGGCGTTGTTTATTAATACGAGCCTTTAAAAATTTACAGGCGTACGATCAAAATGAGCAAGCAAAAACCTAAAGCGGTATATTTGGTAGAGTATGTTTCAAACGCAGTAGTTAATATATTATATACCTAGGAATCTGTAATTTAACACGATAGTCCAGTAGACGGAAGCTGAATGTTACCGTGAAGTCGATCGATGCGAGACCTGTCCTCTATAGCCAACAGCCGCCGCCAACGGCGGGCCGCGATACATTATTCAAACAAACAAGGGGAGCCAAATTCATTTTGAAACGTTAATTATTTGTACCAAAGTGTTGTCTTTACATCCTTGAATACGTATGTGGGTACAACGCAGCTTTAAGGGTACACGTGGCTATCATCTACTGCTACTAGCTGCCCACTCACACGCGGTTTTTTTTAATATTTATTTTTATAATTATTAATACAAAGATCGAACACTCACAAAAAATTCCTTCGATCCGGCCGGATTCGAACCGACGTCTTCTAGCATACCGTGCCAGACCCTATACCAACTAAGCCACGGAACGGACCAGCGGACCTCACGAATTTTTTTATTTGCTTTGTCGCATCTTTGTATTTGATTTTTCAACGACTTTTTAGCCGTAGCGCCATTTATGAGAAATCTTAATTATTTCGTCACCCCCATTAGATACCTTTACAGCTACCAGCCCTAGCTAGAGATGTCGCTATTCATTGTATGTAAATTTTTATTGAATTGATATTCAATTATCTTTTATATTTTTAATTACTCCACTAGTTTGTTATAATTATTAACACAAAGTACAAAGATCGAAAATTTATATTCATTTTGGAATTGGATAAAGTTATAGGCTAATGTATAAGAATACATTTATTGCTATCTTATAAATATCGTAATATTATCAGCACATTCTGAAATAGAATAGATTAGATAGTCGTAGTGTTAGATAAGGAAGATAAATCTGTATCTAACACGCCTTCAACATATTACCTGTTAGTGTTTGTTTTGTGTAATATTTGTTGTCTCGAACTCGTATCTGGCCAGCATGGCTTGAATCTTCAAAAATATTTGCTAACCGACATAGAAAAGAAAGACTTGAAAAGTTAGAAAAGGAACGCGTCATGTAGATTTAAGACTTTCATAGCACGCAATTGTTGTAAGTTTATATTAGCTGCATTGGACACGCAAGTGCGCAATAACACGGGTGCATTGGCGCGTTGCAAGATGCAATTATGTAGCACACTTGCGGGAATTCCGTTATACACCCGCTGGCTATCAAAGATACAGAGAGTTGTTTCCAGTTGTCTATTTACGGATCCTAAAATCGTGGCCCTTACTTTTACCATGAAAGTTGATGACGGGAATTTATACCCGCAGAAGTCGTTAGAAAAATTTGCAGAGGAAGTTTTAGGAAATCACCACATTAATCGAAACTGAAACGCATTAAGTCCGTCGGAAAGTTTTATGTCCATGCAATAAGAGCGAAAAAGACGTTGCTCGTTTCGCTCCGGCCCAGATCACTGAGGTGATTCCTTGCGTTTATACTCAAAAGGAATGACCTTGAATCATAATCAGGCCCTGACTCTCATTCTCCCCGTCTGAAATAATTACTGTCAAATCACTGTACAATGAACACAGAAATATTTAAGCAGTTTATTTTATTATAATTATCGAACACTCAGAAAAAATTCCTTCGATCCGGCCGGATTCGAACCGAGCGACGACTTCTAGCATACCGTGCCAGACGCTATACCAACTAAGCCACGGAACGGACCAGCGGACCTCACGAATTTTTTTATTTGCTTTGTCGCATCTTTGTATTTTGTTTTTCAACGACTTTTAGCCGTAGCGCCATCTATGAGAAATCTTATGAAAGTATTTCGTCACCTATTTAGATACCTTTACAGCTACCAGTCCCGGCTAGAGATACCGCTATTCATTGTATTTAAATTTATATTGAATTGATATTCAATTATTTTTATATTAATTGGTAGTTAGTAATTTAATAGTAATTAGTAGTAATAATTTCACATAAAAATAATTGAATATCAATTCAATATAAATTTAAATACAGTTTATTTTATTTCGCGACACACACGTCCGTCACTCATCTCAGCTCAGGGCTCATTGAAAACCAACGTCGCAGGCAATTATGGTTGTAGTATAAGTTGAATGAAGTCCTTTTGCGTACGCCACAACCGCACACATGACTGTACAACATTTGTAGTCGTTAAAATAACTTTTTTTTGCTTTTTGTCTGTTTTATCTTATTTTATTTTGTTTATTTTTTATATTTTAGTTTTGTTTATTACATCTTTTGATTTTGTTACGCTTGTCTAAGTGGTATCAATATTATTTTTCTATTCTTAATAATTAATACTCGAACAAAATAAAAAACGCTCGATGTGTAGTCGAGTCTAAGCTCGGTCGAGTATTACTTATTTGATAGTAATTGTTTTGGACGGAGAATGGGAGCAAACCCCCACCCTATACACGCCCGTGCACACATACCTGAACCGCTGCAAAACCGTGGCAACCCGAACATCATCCGAAATTCATTGTTTTATTTACATTATTACGTGAACTTGTCAATGACACTTGAATGATAGCGTACTCACTTTTGTTAACAGCTACCCAGCTTGATGAGAATGTCCGCTTCTCATCGTCTTCATTCTGCTGTATATGTCAGATTAGCTATCTGAAACAAAAAAAAAAGAAAATATAAGCAACTTCAGCAATATAATAGAATGCGTTGTAGTAGGTTTTGAAATTTTAAGCTGAGCTTGTCCGGGATCTAGGCATCATGAAAGCTTTTAATCGTAAAGATCCGGGCACTGCCCGTCACCTTGAGACATAAAGCCGACAAATCCAAGTTGCCTGTAGTTTCACCTGCACGTTTGCCCTTCAAAACCGGGACGCAGTAATCCTCACATTACTGCTTGGCGGCAGAAATAGATATGGCGTCAGTACTTCCTTGGAGGAACTCATTCACAAGCAGCTCTTCTGCTACTGGTTGTTATAAAAACATGCTTAGATTGATATAATTTTGAGCCACATAAGACATCAAATACACCACTATTGTCATACCACAAACCGTTATTATTTCGGTTATAATATTAAAGTTACTGTGTTCTTGTAAACATAACCATATCGCGAGTTCTAATCATAATTCACGATGAGGGTACTTTACATAACGTTGGTAGCGAATGGCGTGGTGTGGTTGGGACATTGACCTAGTTCGGGCGCGCGTCAAACGATTCAGCACTCCTGCGCATTGACTTGTAAATCCGCTGAATAAATCCACACGATTTGTTTGTTGGGGCAGATCATGTTGACGCATAGCATAAGTAGGCCGGTGAATGTATCTTGCACATTACTAGAGTAGCACTGATATTTTCATTATTGGAAGATGATTTTTAAATGACACTACGTTTTAAAGGAAATGGTGTCTAAATGATTTACGTTGAGATCAATATCAATAAAGAACATATCGCTTTTAAAAAATTATAATTCCCGAAGGTTAACGTTTTCACTCAGTTACGGTATGGTTTCTTAAACTATGTTTTTATTAAAGAAGTATCTTCTTTGCCTTTCTTTACTTAGTTATTGAATGAAATACATACTTTAGGTGGGGTGAATTAATGATTCGAAGAAAATTTAACGTGTAGGAAGTGTTCAAGTACCTAATAAAGTTCAACAACCCGACAATATTCATTTACACGTTCTTTACATTAACGAGTCACTAGACGGATTGAGCTGTAGATACAAGTTTTATTAACTTGTTTATTTTAACAAATACAAGGGTCATTTCAGGGAGGATACATCTATATATTATTGGAATATTTCCCCGAAGTTGTAGCTATTTAAAAAGCCATGAAAGCCGTTTTTATTCCTTTGTTTTTAAAGTTATTACAAGTGTTACGCAAAACAATGTATTTATCTGACATACAACGGCCGAGTTTAACAACCTGGTACGAATTAGCTTTAAACCCTTAACTAGTGCAGATATATAGCTTCCTTGGTCCTGTATGTGTACAAATTGTAATGTAACTAGTGTGTAACAAATAAGTGGTAATTCTAAATAAAGCTCAAAGGAATATGCCAATATATCGACTTCATACCCCTAATGGCCCCCCATACAATTTTTCGATGGCGGCAGCGTTCTTTACATGTGTGCGTGTAGCGAACTATTTACGACGCGGCCCACAGCTGTGCGAGGTCATTGCCCTGCTGCAAAACAAGGTGAATATATGTCTACATTTTTTCTTTGCCAACGTTTTGAAATGTGACTCCGGTATTTACGCAATTTCGCGAACACTTAGTAATGGTAGCTGATGTCATACGACACATACGTATATGACAAGCCCGCTCGTGTATCATCGATTAGAATTCCCGCTTAGATTTTATGATTTGTTTGGCTTCTCATATTCGATTGTTTGATTATTTACCTTAATTGTTTCGTGATTTATGACAATTGAAGAATTGGGTTAATGGTATAGTCAACATCGCGTTAGTGTTTACAATTTGGAGCGTTACATGTTGTGGCACATATTCGACCGCAATAGTACTAAACAATCGCGATCGAAGCATGTATTTTTGTTTCTTTCCTATTATTATTTATAAACAAAACATCTTCTTGTAAGTCGTTATAATAAACTTCCTACTATGAACAGTCAACCTTTAGCCTTGAATAGACACAATGAATCATTTTACAATAAGTGGTAAATGAACAAATATTTTTTCTCGCAATACTATGAGGTTTGATGTATATCAAATTTATATTCGTTTAATTTCCCAGACGAGTAGGTGCAGATTATTGAAGTCCCCCTCCCTAGGTATGGAGTGTGTCTATAATACCCTCCCGTAGGTATTATAGACACACTCCATACCTCTCGGAAGGGGGAAGCCGTACCCCTAATAGGGACTTTTAATTGATTCGCTAAACAAATAGCTATGACTACAAACGGAAAGTTGCGTGGGTGAAAATTTGCAAATCACAAAATTAAAAAACTCTCAGCAGGTACTTTTTATTAATTATTTAGCTAACATCACCTAATAGGTCCTTTTCGTAAAGGTAAACAGCCTGCCTTGAACAAATGTAAGTGTATTCAAGTATGTAAGTGATTAGTAAGCCGATAAATAAATTTGGAATGGAAGTACTTAAGTAGGCATTAACTAATTCAGAAACTGATCCCTGAATTCGATTTCTTAATGTCTTTGAAACAAGACATTTAAGGCGAAGACCCGGAGAAAGTCATTTGCACGATGTTTGAACACCTTGTCTTTTAGAAATAAAATCTGTCGCCATTAGTTGAAATTTTTTTCAAACAATTCATTATACATACTGCAGCGATTAGAAAAAATGGCGATTTTTTAACCGACTTCAAAAAGGAGGAGCTTCTCAATTCGACTGTATCTTTTATGTATGTTACGCGATTTTTGTGAACCGGTTTTGGTGAATCGTTTTTTGTTCTCAGCCTCAGTATTGGTCCCATTTCAATTTGAAGAAAATATTGTACCTCTAAGGGTGTAAGGAATCCGGTTTCGCGTACTTTGCGGTAACTGATTTCAATAAAATAGATGTAAGTCCACGAACTTGTGAGGACGTTCTTTTTATAAAAAAAAAAAAGTTATAATTTCCTAGGTGGATAAGGTATGAAGACAAGATAAAAGTAAATATCTAAAAGTAATGAAACTAATCATTGTTTTAAACATTATTTTCTCGATTTTGAGTTTTATCACAAGCGCCCTTTCAAGTAATGGTGGCGGATATATACTCTCAATGTAAAATAAGCTCGTAGTCCCCTGTCGTATTTATTACGGAACACGGAAGACCAAATGTCATTGCATAATCTCAAAAAAAAATCGAATGCACCTGCCTGATACATCAGTTCAGAATAAAATATATCAGTGGGTTTATATTACACAAATAATGTAAAAATCGCGTAGTTGAACGTCTCATGTTCTTTTTTATTGAAAGAGTTCAGCGCCCACAGTCCATCGTCAAGTTCGAATTTCAAAAACCTTTTTGCGCGCAGATTCCTAATGAGAAAGAAAGCCTTTCCGAGCTAGTGAGGTAAAAATAGTTTATTAATTAAATTTTTGCGGAATTTTGTGATTTTATTTATCGAGGGAAGTTTAGTCAAACTACCAATATCTTCTGTTTCCATTATGAATTAAAAAAAAAGTTGTATTATTTTAATGTCTATGTATTTTTTTAATGTCGAAAAACCGATATTCCGTCCGATAGATTTTGAACAACCATGTTTATGTGTATTATACCTCCAATACAAGTTGGTAGCAGTGTTGCCAGGCTCACTGAGTCGAAAATTACGTTTCATTACCTGAAAAGTTACATTTCTGCTGCAAAAGTTACATTTTAGAATAATAATAATAATAACGTTTATTCATCCACAAAAATACGTACATATAGTTCTTAGTAATTTAAGATACATGCAATAACTTATTTTTGGGCGCTGGTGCTTGTTAAAGGCTTAACGCCTGTACTACAAGTCACCAGGCTCTCACCCTTGGAAATGACACATGACAATCTTAAGGTATTACTAAGATTAATTGTTTATAAAGGAAAAACATTTAAATAGTGAAAAAATACATTTGACATTATTGAACTATATACACCCAAAAGATCTAAATTAAATTAAAATTAAATTTAAAAACTTTTTTAGAAGCAATAGAGTTCCTTGTGAAAGGGTTCGGTTACCCATTTCTACCGCGAAACAATGTCAGCATTACTGTACAGCATTATGAAGGGTAAGGGTGCAGGTGAAATTACAGGGACTTGTCAACTTATGTCTCAGAGTGATCTCTGTAGGTGGTTACAGACAGGCGTTACGCTTACCACCAGGTGCACGACTTGTTCGCCCCGTCACTTAGTATTATGAAAAAAAAAACAAAAAGTCTAAGTATCTGTTAATGATACATATTTATCTCAAGATATAGGTTCTAAGCAATAATAAGCAGATTTCAAGTTGTTTGCGCCATCGCTAATCTTTATTGTGTAATATGGTTGCGATCGTAAACTATATTACATAATTTATAATAACAGATGTAGTTGAATTAAAAAAAAAAGTTATTTTTCGAAAGATACGCGATAAAATTGCCTTAAAAACGAAACTTACGCGAGAGGGTCAAATGTTACGAAAAATTCGAAAAATGTAATCATCTGGCAACACTGGTTGGTAGGTTATATAAGCTATTAGTTTAAAGAGTAATATAGGCAAATATATTTACGTAAATTTGAAGTAAATAACACACAAAGTGAATAATGTCTCTCCCTGAAATCCTGGAAGTAATATTTATATGTTGTCATCATGTTGGTCTATATTTTTGACGTGTAACTAGCAATTATTTTACTACAGCAATGTATTTAAAAATATAACAATTTTATTTTTAATGTAAGTGTATTTACTTGAAATTTTATTCTGCTAATTATAAAACATTCTTGATGACAATATTTTATAACTGTTACTATGATGTGATAGGGAGTTTTGTTATACTACCTGAAGGAGCACCGTTAAGCCGTAACTTGTTCTTCGTATTCAAAACAGTCTTGTGTTTGTTGGAATTTTCTTCGAAATTATTAATTAGACTTGAACTAATTTGCGTGTGACACATACGGGCTTGTCATTATAATATGTATATTAACACGATGAAATGTATTTGTCACGTCAAGCAAAA